CCCTCACCACAGGGGTAAGTAAGACTATGTACTGACCCTCACCACAGGGGTAAGTAAGACTATGTACTGACATTCACCACAGGTGTGAGTAAGAACATGTACTGACACTCACCACAGGGGTAAGTAAGACTATGTTACTTACTCTCACCACAGGGGTTACTAGGCTCTTTACCGACCCACGGCGGTCCTTATTATTGTTATTATTATTATTATTATTATTATACTATTATTATTATTAGTAGTAGCAGCAGCAGCAGCAGCAGCAGCAGCAGCAGTAGTAGTAGTAGTAGTACGTAGTAGTAGTATGTTGATGATGATGATGATGATGCTGATGATGATGATTATGTAAAGTCAAGTGTGGCAAGCACTGAAATAACTCGAAATTATCTTTCAGATAAGACGTTATTTCTCCCCTGCTTGGTTCAGATCCTCGGCTGTGCTCTCATTTAGGTACAAAAAAATGTTTTTCGCAGATAGTAAGTGTACAAAAAAACACAAATGTATAAAAATTCATATTTTTTTATCGCGTCAGGAATGGCAGCGTAGTTTCTGAAATACAGATGGTGGCTGCACACTCGTACCTAGCAGTAGTGCGTGGACTGAGTAAACATTTTATTCCTAATTATGAAATAGATCCACTGAAAACAAGTTTCGTAAAGGAACCAAGTAAGTGAAAGAACAGTAGATAGCTAAAAAGGCACACAGGCACATAGGAACACAGGCAAACAAACAAACAAACAAACAAACGCTTGAATTTTCCTCTAGTTTTAATTAGATTCTGACTGTGTTCTGTTTAATATTGGATGATAGTCCTCATTGTGTTAATTGTGGACCTCCTTTAATGAATACTACAACCAAGGTTGGAATTACCACTACAAAATACCAAACTGCTCATTACACCCATTTGTCAATAATTACGCGACCAGCACAGTCAGTGTCATCTAAAGTATTGAACCCCGTTGGCTTTCCCTCCTCTGTCTCCTTCTGTTCTTTCGGTTTTATCGAGTTTTAGCAACCTCCCGCATGTCCGGAACCATATATGCATACGCTGACCATTGAATATTCCTTAATTAACCTCCATGATTTTTTTCATAGAATTCACAAGTCCCAACATGTCTGTGTCGGACGAATCTCCATATCCTGGCGTTACAATCGAGTTTAAATGCTTGGCCACGCGTGGTCCTCGCTCGCCTGTCTTTAGTTGGTTTAAAGACGGGAAACCTGTGGTTTTTTATGTCAGACGTAAATTCTCTTTGGACGATACGAAATCGATTCTAACCATTCGCAAGCTTAGTTCAATGGACAGAGGGAATTACACTTGTGTTGTAAGGTAAATACTTCTAATTCGTCGTGGTACAATGTTATCCCATTTCAGACCACATGCCATTCTCTAGAGTATCATTTCTTTGTTTAACAGTTGCGCGTAAGAAGGCACATAAATATGGATACAAYGCAAACWAAGAACCTTATTCTCAAGAGAATGACACGTAGWATTTAATGGGAAAACTTTGAACCACGACGAAAGGTCTATAATGTTGTTTCTGTTTTTGTTTTTCCCTYTCGGAATGTGACGTTATCGGCAGGATCTGTTCACACTATGAAACAAGTCACGCGCAACGTATCAGATTACCTGATATCTATCTTCCTCGCGCCTCATTGGACATTCGGCCTTCACAGAGCTATTCCACCTTTCCCTGTCGGCCTCCACAGTCCGCACCTCGTCCCATGAACTCCAATCTGGCAACGTTTCAGAAGACGTACTATACTAGTAGCACTGCTCTCTAATATTATGCTTCTGCACCGTTGCGCGTAAARCTTCTAAAGTGTCTAGTTGGGCCTTTAAGATAAGTTAACAGAGCTAACACAGCTTTACTGTTGTAGCAAAGGCAATCAGAATGCATCCTCTTCACCAGTACTTCTCAACGTTCTTCCAACCATTACCGAGAAAAAAGGTAGGTAAACTCAAAGGCGCGTTTGAACATCATCTACCAAACTAACCAATTAATCTTGTTTGATTGGTTTTTACGACTTATTGTGTATAGTGACCAATGTTATGAAAGTTATCCATTAGAGTGAATGCCCGCCCTGTCTGTTAATTATGAAATGCGTATTTAAGGGAATGGTCATGTTACTTTAACAACATACTCAAAGCCATAAAACATCATCTTTACGAATATTTATTATATTTCTAAATATTCGTAAAGATCGATAGGATATTTCAGTATGCATTATTTACAAAATGYGCAAGATCRCGTAATGCGTAAAKATGCGTAAACAYGAMAATYATCTGTGGTATTCTTAYGCAYCTTTACGCGACGRAAAAAGGTCCGCGTAAAGACTCTGTAAATAATGCGTAAAGATTG